AATCATATGCTACCTCCTGAAATGGCTGAATGTCAACCAATTCTTTTTGGTACAGTGACTCTGTGAATACACAGAGAACACATAAAAACTGTTTTATTAATTTACTTGAAAGAAATGGAGTTAGTATGAAAAGATAATTACAATTTGCAAATATAAAGGCTTTAAAACAAATTATTCAACATAGAGGAACAAAAGGTAAACTGACTAAATTACAATGATTCCTTTTCTAGAAGTTTCTTTAATCTTGAATTTTTCTCATGAAGAGAGTAATAAAAGGAGATAAAAGTACAGAAAATAGAAGATGGGGGGCTAATCTATTTTAAGCAGCCTAAATCTGGTCTAATAAACACTGATTAAATTATTTCGTGTGAAGCACCATGCCCGTCTTTATTTAACATTTAGGATGAATTCAGGTTGGAGTAAGGCAGCAGCCTTTGATACTGGGAAAAATCCCACAATAGCCTAGTGTCTCTTAAGTGTGGCCCTAAACCAGGCAAAATATTATACCTTAGAGCCTGTATTTTCTCTTTCAAGCAGAATGAGTAAGCCAGTGAGAGCTGGTTTAAACTAGTTCAAGAGACTTAAAGTTAACCTTGGCTCATTAAGTGCCTCATATATATTAACTTTCCCACCCCTAGGAAGACTTTAACCACCATTTTCTAAATGCACATCTTATGAAGTTGTATGTAACCCTTACTGTGGCTGTGTAGCATGATTTAAAATTCTGCTGATGTAATTCACATGATCTCTCAGCTTCTAAGACCTATAAAAGCGACCTCCCTAAACCTTATCCTTGAACAATCTTGGAGACACCAGCCCCGTCTGTTCCTTTCCTTGAACAATGAAATAAAACTGCCTTCTGATCTCTCACCTCAGCCCCTTGTTTATTGGCTGTGACAAGTCACACAGAGCAGGACTTGGGGTTCCCAACAACAAATTCTGGCAAGCCAGCCAGGAGTCATCTGCTCCATTCTGGAGGTGGATTGGACAACAGACCGGCCCCAATATCTGGCATTACCAGGAGCTTTCTTCTGGAGACTTCAGAGCGGCCCTGGAGGCCAACCCACCTTGGACCCACTGCTGACTCAGTGGAAGACGTGAAACGTGCTTGTGGTGTTCCCCAGGAAGGAGGATCACACATCCTTGGTGAGTAACAATTTAAATCCCATGTAAAGCCTTAAAAGAACTCCAAGAAGCAGAAGTAACTGGTTGCTGAGGACATAAAAGGTTTTAGGTGTTTGTTACTTGTTTGATTGCTAGCATTTGGAGCTATGGATAACATACAAGGAATCCCTGAATGTAGTCTGTTAGCGTGCATTCTAAAGAATTGGTCTCACTTTGGGTCGGACCCTGTCATGGATAGAACTGTGTCCCCCAAAAATATCTGTCAACTTGGCTGGGTCATGATTCCCAGTATTGTATGACTGTGTACCATTTTGTAATCTGATGTGATTTCCTTATGTGTTGTAAACTCTATCACTATGATGTAACAAGATGCATTAACAGCAGTTGTACTGATGAGGTTACAAGATTGGATAGTGGCTTAAGCCAATCTCTTTTGAGATATAAAAGAGAAAAGGGAGCAGAGACACATGGGAACCTCATACCATTAAGCAGTGCCAGGATCAGAAAGCATCCTTTGAACCTGAGGTTCCTGTGCAGAGAAGCTCCCAGACCAAGGGAAGACTGATGACACAGATCTTCCTCCAGAGCAGACAGAAAGTGTTCTCCTGGAGCTGACGCCCTGAATTTGGACTTGTAGCCTACTGGACTATAAGAGAATAAACTTCACTTTGTTAAAGCCATCCACTTGTGGTATTTCTGTTACAGCAGCACTAGATGACTAAGACAGACCCTAAGAAAAGAAGAAAATTATTCTCTTTTGTAACACTTCTTGACCCCAATACCAACTAGGTGGCAGTGAGAAATGGCCCCCAAACGAGGCCTTGCACTATAACACTATCTTGCAACTTGACCTCTTTTGTACACATGAAGGAAAATGGGACGAGAAGATGTATGTTAAAGCTTTCGTGGTTTTATGCCAAAACAAAAATCTGCAGAAGCAGTGTAAAATCTCAGTGCAGGAAAAGACTGATGAAGCGAAACCACCAGTCTTGTCCCCAGTGCAGAGGATGATGTCCCGGTTCCAACCACATCCTCTCCATATTCCTCTCTGGTTGCAGCCCCTCCGCAAACACTGGCGCCGCAACCCCCTGCCCTGTACCCTGAGTTACCTAGCCCTTCAACCCCGCCAGTGGGATCACCACCCCATATACAGAGTGGGACAGTTTTTGAGCACCCCGATTCAGCCGGTAGGGAAGGCTCTGAAAAGGGCAGGGGGCAGAACTCTCAGGGAGGCCATGGTTCTGAGGGTCGTAATCCCAAACCTGTAAGAAAGCCTGATGGTGTGCACCCTTTACATCAAGTCCCAGCTGGAAATGCTGGAATGGTCTGGGTTTATCAACCCTTCACAACCAGTGATATCTAAAACTGGAAAAACAACAGCCCCAGGTATAGAGAGGACCCTAAGTGGATGTAAGATCTTTTTGCCTCCATCTTCTGCACTCACATCCCCACTTGGGCAGATTGCCAGGCTCTGTGCAATGTGCTTCTTGCTCCAGAAGAGTGTCGCATGGTGTTTGAAAAAGCTTGGGCTGAGGCAGACAGGTGGCATGAGTTACAGGCTGTGAACTTAAATGGGGCTGATGCCTTACCCACTGTCGATCCTGGCTGGGACCCCAACACTACAGTGGGGCAAATACACCTTACTTACCACAGAGAATGTCTCTTAGAGGGCTTAAAGAAAGGAGTAGCCAAATAGAAAAATTTAAGCAAAGTTCACAGAGTTAAACAGGAGTCTAATGAAGATACGTCCCGGTTTTTAGAGAGAATTTATGCTGCTTTCAGACAGTTCACTGATCTGGATCCTGAGAGCCCTGAAAATGCCCAAATGGTCAGTATGATCTTTATAGGGCAAAGTGCCCCCAATATTAGAAGAAAGCTTCAGAAGATAAAAGGAGGTATGGAGTTGGGAATCTCTCAGCTAGTGTAACTGGCCTACCAAGTTTACTCTAACTAAGATAAGGAGCAAGAAAAAAAGCAAGTTACAAACCAAAAGCACCAGACAGCCACCTTGCAGGCTGGAGGCCGACTCCCAAGAAAACAAAGAAAAAGAGGGAGGCCAAGACCGCAAGAGCCAGGAAGACCCCACACCCCTTTAGAAGGAGACCAGTGAGGCTGGTGTAAAGAGAAAGGACATTGGAAGTGAGAGTGTCCAAAATACGAAGCAAAGGAACAAATAAAGAGAGAGGTGACCCAATGCCTTGTCATGTCACTAGAAGATGAGTGAGACTGAGGTAGACTGGAGGCTAGCCCTCTACTGGAGCGTCTGGTTATAATAAAGGTAAAAAGAAAGCCTGTAAAATAATGATCAAAAAAAGGCAGCCCCGGTAATGGGAAGGACCATTCCAATAGTCAGAGTGTCAGGAAAAGAGGACTGCCCCACATTCTTGCAGCCTTTAACCTGTTCTTTGCAGGGAAGGTTCTCTAACTCACTCTTTCCTGTACATGCCAGACTTCCCAGTGCCTTTACTGTGGCAAAACTTGCTTTGCAAGTTGCAAGCACAAATAAAATGGACAAATGCATATGCAAGTACTTGCCTAACTCAGGCTAGAGGGTACAAATGGCTCTTTTGAACCAACAGCAAGTCAAGCCACTGACCAACTTCTCGGAGGGAGTCCTCAACCAAGTACTTATACATTCAGAAGTTATCCAGACAGTAGTGCCCCGGGTCTTGGCAGACAAAACACCTGGGAGGGCTAAAATATGCCAAGGGTCGTCACTGACCTCTTGTCAGGCACCACCCTAAAGCAATACCTAAAGCAATACCCTACCAGACTTGAGGCCCACCAAGCCATTGCAGACACCATCAATAGGTACTTAAAACATAGACTAATTCGAACCTCCAGTCACAGTTCAATATGTCCATTCTCCCAGTTAAAAAAAAAAAAACTAGAGAATACCGCTTCATGCAGGACCTAAGAGCAGTAAATCAAGTAACTGTGACAGTTCACCCAGTGGTCCCAAACCTTTACACTCTGCTCTCCACACTCTCTCCGGCCTTCACTTGGCTCCCTGTGTTGGATTTAAAGGATGCATTCTTCTGCATCCCAGTGGAAAAGGCAGGAAACTTTTGCTTTTGAGTGGGAGGACCCACTCTCAGAACTCAAGCAGCAGCTCTGTTGGGCTGTCCTGCCCCAAGTGTTCAAAAACAGCCCCACCTTGTTTGGTGTAGTGCTGGCACAAGAATTACACCAGCTGACGCTTACCAACAGAATTCTGGTACAGTATGTAGCCAATCTCCTTATTGCTGGCAAAGATGAGTTTGACTCACTTCAGAACACCACTGAAGTTCTTAACTTCCTGGGCAATGCTGGGTATCGAGTATGAAGAGAAAAGACCCAAATCAATCAGTTAGAAGTCACATACTTGGAGTTCAAAAATTAAAGTTCAAGAAAAGTGGACCGGGCCATTCGTTCAAAGTGCTGCTTGCCACTCCCAGAGCTGTGAAGCTCAGCAGTCTCAAAGCTTAGATCCACCACACCCAAGTAGAAAGAACTGTTCCACTAGACATCGAGGGACAAACTTGTCAGAACTGTGAGAATTAGACCTGTGAACATATTAAGGACCTTAAGTACTTGCTGGCAAAACACCCTCCTGCATAAATCCAATCCTAAACTAACTCTTAATCTTGCTCATTGTATTAAATACACTGTTTGCCTTTTTGTTTCTTTATGCTATATTTTAACAAGTCAGACTAATAAGAGCCTGAGAGCCCTCTAGCCACCATAGGAATAGTAATGATAGTTACTATCCTTCTCCAGGGGATTCTCATAGCCCAAGCTAAATGGGATAACAACCAATTCATCCAACTTTCCAACTCTGTTTCCCAGGGAAGTCATCTGAATAATTGTTGGATCTGCCAACTATTCCCCACCTCCTCTGCTGATTTAAAAGTTCCCTGGGAAAGCCTTATCCCCAGCTCTTCCTGGATCTTTCTACTACTGAAGCCTTAGAAATAAGAGTACTCCCCATTAAAAAGGACTCAAAAGGAGCTGTACCATGTTTCCAAATATTCAACTTGGCATGGTGGACCACACTGGTCCCTGAAACTGCCTCTTTTAACAGGACCAATTTTACAAAATTTTCACATTACCTTGGGGACATCACTGCATACAGAAACCTTTCCTCACAGGCTAAACCTGGTTATTATCCAGGTAACAACAAAGGCAACCAAATCTCCTGTTTTGGGTTAACCAGCTTTTCAACATGGTCCAACACTACCCACCTCCTTAACCACACAACAGAGGTAGTCCTGTTTGGGCACCCCGAGAATTCTATTTTCTGTGTGGTAATTTTACCTCCCCCAGTATTCAGTATCACAAGAGCCTAGTTTACCCATGCTTAAACCCAAAAGAATCGACTGGCACTTGCATGGTAAGAGCTGTCACTTTCCCAATGGTTCTTGCAACCCCCGATAGCCTCACTACCCTTATGAAACCTCCATCTCCCCATACACACAAGCAGCAAAGAAGAGCTACTGATGGTACAGAAGAGGGCTGAGATTTAAGTAAAACAGGATTTAACACCATCACAGAGACAGGAACAGGATGATTCATTTTAAGAACCGTAATTGTCTTCCCACAATTAGTTGCTTTACAGGAGCTTAACCTTTCTGACATCGTCCATGTTCTATCATGATCCACACAGAGCCATAAAAGTTCAATAAAAGTCATTAGGCTGTCTGGCCAGAGTAGTGCTAGACCACCATTTAGCTCTAGACTATATTCTGGATAAGGTGGGAAGAGCTTGTGCCATAGCCAATACCTCCTGCTGTGTGGGGGTCAATACCTCTCATGAAGCTGAACTGAATTTCCAAGTAATTGACAAAGTAGCTAACTGGACAAGACCAAGACCTGTAACAGAATCTGAAAACAAGACCTCTTGGTAAGATTAAATTATGTCCTTATTTCCCAGTTTCAGCTGGCTTTGGCCCCTGGTGACTCCACTAATTTTTATCTTCTTGCTATGTCTGTTCCTATCTTTCCTGATGAATTGTTTAACCAAGTTCATATCCTACTGCATCTCAGCTATAAATATGATGATGGTGCAAATGAAATCTAGCAAAGAGGGAAAAAACCTACCACCTGCCAAGCCCCATGAGCAGATGATCACTCAAGAAAAATCTCCTTACAGGGCACGTCAGACTCGATTTTCTACAACACAGTGGTTTAGGACCAACACTGGCCATGAGTGACCAATGTCTGAAGAAAAGGAGGGAATAAGACAACAGACTTTGATACTGAGAAAAATCCCACAGTCGCCTAGTGTCTCTTAAGTGTAGCCATAAACCAAGCAAGAGATTACACCTTAAAATGTGTATTTTCTCTTTCAGGCAGGATGTGTAAGCCAGAAAGAGCTGGCTTAAACTAGTTCAAGAGACCTAAACTTAACCTTGGCTCGTTAAGTGCCTCATATATATTAACTTTCCTGCCCTAAGAAGAGTTTAACCACCATTTTCTAAACACACATCCTATGAAGTTGTATGTAACCCCTATTGTGCCTGCGTAGCAAGATTTAAAATGTTGCTGCTGATGTAATTCACATGATCTCCCTGCTTGTAAGCCCTAAAAAAGTGACTTCCCTAAACCTTATCCTCAAACAGCCTTGGCAACACTGGCCCCGACTGTTCCTTTCCTTGAGCAATGAAATAAAGCTGCCTTTCTGATCTCCCACCTTGGCCTCTTGTTTATTGGCTGTGATGAGTCGTGCCAAGCAGGACTTGGAGTTCCCAGCAACAGGAGTATAGATTCTGTCCAACAGCTGGTTACTGACTACAAGAACAAGAAATTCAATCTGGATGCACTGGTGACCCATATGTTGTTTTTGACAAAATCAGTGAGGCGTCTGACCTAATTCACCAAGGAAAAAAGGTAAATTACCAAACATATTGGTGAGTCGTTTAAAAAATCTTTATGGTGATGCCATTTTTATTTGATTTTAATAATAAAAATAAACATTATACCTGCTATACTACGTAAATTGTTATAAATATAAGCCCTGCACTAACCAGTTTGTCTTTCTCACACTCTCCACATTATCAGAGGTACTAAACCCAAAAAAACCAAACTCGTTGCCGTCAAGTCGATTCCAACTCATAGCGACCCTATAGGACAGAGAGCCCACAGGGTTTCCAAGGAGCAGCTGGTAGATTTGAACTACCAACCTTTTGGTTAGCAGCCAAGCTCTTAACCACTGTGCCATCAGAGCTCCTCAGAAGTACTAGATGTGCTTAAAAGATTAAATAGTGGCCATTTGGGGGGAAAAAAAAAAGCTTTCTATACTGTTTCCACAATGCACACTGGTACACATCATTACACATAGAGTGGTGGTATATATTGACATATGTTTTCCCTTTCACAAACAATTGTTAACTCAGTTGGGGCTGTTCTCTAGAAAGAGAAGTTTCTATAGTGTAATGTTAGGTCCTTCTAGTACACTGTGCTCCTGGGTCTGGAATCATTATGCTCTAAAATTTGACACAGAGTGGCCACTCCTCACCCTTCATTATCAGAACGATGTAAAAAACAGAGATGTGAGGGAGCAGTGAGGGGCAGGTATCAGATACTTACAGGATATCCCAACTCTCTCATTCTCCTGCTTTGTCATAGGTTGTAAGATATCTTCTCATCCAATTTTAGCTATATTGTACTCTGCTGGCATGGACACTAAAAACTGACTTATAGAAATGTCCCACTTGGGGGATCCTTATAGGTTAGGGAGTAGGTTATACTAGGATAAATTGTTCTGGTTAAAATGATTAAGCAAAGCCTTGATGAATAAAAGCAAAGGGCAAAAACACCAAGAACAATGGGATATGGATTAGATGCAGAACTAAGAAGCCACAAAAAGAGAAGCCATTACAAAGGGGAGGGGAGAGCCTAAAGTAAATGAAAATGGCAGTTTGAAGTAGAAAGCAAATGTTGCAGAAGAAGAAAAATAGGTCCGAAGTGTGAGGACCCAGGCTACTTCATGGGAAACAAATCCAACCTGAACTTCCAGTTTGCAGACATGTTACCTACAACATATAAAAAAGGAGTTCAATAAAAATAAAAGAAAAAATAAACATTATACCTGCTACACTAAGTAAATTGCTATAAATATATAGCACCGCACTATCTTGCCCAATTTCAATATCACCATAAGGAGCTTTTCTCAAATTAGCAGTTGAGTTGGGGTTTGGTGCCTGGACCCTGGTGCCATAGCTCCTCCACCACTACCCGTTTCCCCCAGAGTTTCCAGTCATGGATTATACCCACAAGGAATGTTAAGTGGCAGCCAAATGGAAAATGTTGCCTTACTTTATTAACAGCTGGGCAAGTCTCCCATACTCTCAAAGTAGGCTTCCCTTGTGATCAGTGGTAGAGTCGAGGCCTAGGCTTAAACACCTAAGTGGTGCCTCCTATTCCCTCTCTGGCCCACTTAAAAGTCCACCCTGACTGCCCACATGGATGGTTAGGTGGGAACAAGGAAGACAGAAGATAGCCCTTCACAAGTGTGTTTACCATATGGGACAGGAAGCACAAGACAGGCCAGGCTCTCCTACCATACGAACTGACTAGAAGCAAGGAAGTGGAGAGAAGGGGAAGGAATACAATGACTGACTGGACTGTTAAGGGGCAGTGGCCCTGTCCATGGTGAGGAAAGAACAAAGAGGTTCTCCCTCCACAGGGAGGGGTAGCTTCCAGTCCCTGGTTGAGGAAATTGTTTACGCACAGCAACCAGCTAATGCCAGGGATTCCAAAGCTGTAGAAGTAAAGTGGCATATAAGGAATTCTCTGTCCTTGAGGCTTATCTCCCTCTCTGCTTCTATATGTTGAAGAAGTTTTCCAAGAGTGAGAATACTTGGGCTCTCAGAAAGTAGCATCCCAACTCACCAACCTCCACCTTACTTTTAATGCTCAACTTTGTCCTAGAGCCAAGAGGAGTGAGTCTATTCCCAGAATAGACTAAAATAACCTTGGTATGCTCTACTTTTCTATAGCACATTGGCTAACAAGGACTTTGTTAGGGTCAAGTGAGGGTCACCATTTTTCCCTTAGTTTACTAGCACTATATGTAATGACATGCATGGAAGAAGATAACAAGTGTCATGGATTGAATTGTGTCCCCCAAAAAATATGTGTATCAATTTGGCTAGGCCATGATTCCCAGTATTTTGTAACTGTCCACCATTTTGTTATCTGATGTGATTTTCCTATGTGTTGTAAACCCTATCTCTATGATGTTAATGAGGTGTGACAGGCGGCAGTTATGTTAATGAGACAGGACTCAATCTACAAGATTGGATTGTCCTGAGCCAATCTCTTTTGAGATATAAAAGAAAGAAGCAAACAGAGAGACAGGGGGACCTCATACCACCAAGAAAGCAGCACCAGGAGCAGAGCCCATCCTTTGGACCTGAGGTTCCTATGCAGAGAAGCTCCCAAACCAGGGGAAGATTGACGACAAGGACCTTCCTCCAGAGCCAAGACAGAAAGCCTTCCCCTGGAGCTGACACCCTGAATTTGGACGTCTAGCCTACCAGACTGTAATAAAATAAATTTATCTTTGCTAAATCCATCCACTTGCGGTATTTCTGCTACAGCAGCACTAGATGACTAAGTCAATAAGATAAAAGAAATTGGGCTTAACAAAGTAGGGTGTAGAAAGAAAGACTGGATCAAATCCTGAAATTAAAAAACAAAATTATTTGTGGGCTTTGGCTAAACTTATCATGAAAATTCTAATTCGTTTTCTTATTATTAACAGCATCCAGACAGTCCTGCTCTTTTGAAGACAGCAGGAACGATTTGGAAAACTATCTGACTGAATTTGCATGTGTCTGGTTAATTTATAACCTGATATGATGAACCAAGGAAAGCTATGAGTTTGAACAAATATTTACAATTAATATCACAGCATAAAATGGCTACAAAGATTAAAGCACTAGTAATCATAAAACATATTAATATTTCCTATATTAAATAACTATGACACCTCAAGTATTTACAAATGGAATCATATGATGTTTGTGAATTGTTAAAATTAGTACCAGGAGGGTGAGAGTGGGGAATGAAAAGGTAGTAAGTAAAATTACGTTGTTGTTAGATGTCATGGAGTTGGTTCCGACTCACAGCAACCCTATGTACAACAGAACAAAACACTGCCCAGTCCTGCACCATCCTCACAATTGTTGCTATGTTTGAGCCCACTGTTGCTGCAACTCTGTCAATCCATCTTGTTGATGGTCTTCCTCTTTTTCACTGACCCTCTACTTTACCAAACATGATGTCCATCTCCAGGGACTGATCCCTCCTGATAACAAGTCCAAAGTATGTGAGACGTAGTCGCGCTATCCTTGCTTCTTAGGAGCATTCTGGTTGTACTTCTTCCAAGACAGATTTGTTCATTCTTTTGGTAGTCCAAGGTATATTCAATATTCTTCACCAACACAATTCAAAGGCATCAATTCTTCTTCAGTCTTCCTTATTCATATTGGCTATATGTTTATACATTTTTAGGTTGGGTGATGAACATATGGGGTTCATTATACTGTTCTCTTTACTTTTGTATATGCTTGAAATTTTCCATAATAAAAACATTTTACTGGGAAAAAAATCACTTGATAGCTAGATAGATAGATAGGACACATAGTTAATAACTAGACAGTAGATAGAATATATACGTAAAATGCTGTTATGTAATTTCTGGGCTCCAATAAGCTACTCTTTTTCAATAAGCTGCTAAATCATTTCCTTTTTAACACCTGTTTGTTTCTTTTCTCTTAGCCCCACTTTATAACTATAATCACAAGGAATGGCATATCAGAATTTATATAAAGATTTTAAGAAGAATAAACGCATCTACATCCTCAAATTACTAGCAGTATAACTGCACTTTCCATCTTTGATAACTCTCACAACATTTAACATTTAGTTCTTTATAGTGTTTTGTGATCTGTAACTTGCACTAAATAATGCTATTTTCTATAACCAATAAAAAGTAATAAAGAACGATGTACTTACAAAATATTTATAATTACAAGATTTAACTGACAGTAAGATTTATATAAAAGGCAGGAAAGTAAGAGTTTTCCAACTAGTATACTCATAGCTGGACAACAGTTTAAAGGGTTAAAATAGATAATAATTTGGGCCAGAGTAATAAAGACTAGCTCTTAGCTTGAAATAATTTCCGAAGCCTACCAGTTTTTTTAAAAATGTTTACCGCATATTGAACTCTGACAGAAGATAAACTTCTCTCAAGATTTGGCTGAGGATGGTAGTTATATCTCAAAATAGAAACTTATATCTAGTTAATAATCTCTTTCACTAGAAATGGAAGCCAGTTAATCCATCTGTAAATGCTTCCTTTATTGGTATTGTGGGGAATAAGACACATCCCATCAGATGTTGGCCTTTCTCATGCTATTCCCAATATCTGCTATATTCCCTGGCCTCATCCCCTCCCCTCCTCTCCTTTGCTTCCTTGAATACTTCCCAGGTCCAGTTTAATTGTTGTTAGTTGCCTTGTTAGTTGCCATGAAGTTGGCTCTGACTCACAGACCTTATGTATAACAGAACAAAAGGTTGCCTGGCCCTGTGCCACCTTCATAATCACTGGTATGTTTCAGTCCATTGTTGTAACTATTGTGTCAATCCATCTCACTGAGGGTTTCCAGCTTAGACAACCTCCTTGTCAGATCTTTGCAGCCACAAAGTTGTTTTCCTTCCCTGATCTCCTTTGGCTCTTAGTGCCTTTATCAATATCTTAGCCCATACTGCTTTCACTGTTAGTTTTTCAAATATGGGTTTAACCCTTCTGAAGATATCAACAATTTTTTAATCTATCCGTCTATCAGAGATGCTCAATATATACATATTGTTGATAACTAAAGTTTATCCTCAAAAGTGTCCAAATAGTTTATTTTAACCTTTTTGCATGGAATTTTTCTAAAACATCCTATACACATCTTAAACTCTTTTTTCATGGAGAACCCCAAATTTAATTTCAATAACTCAGAATCACCACTAATCCCGGTCACCCATTGCCGTCAAGTCAATTCCGACTCATAGCGACCTTATAGGATAGAGTAGAACTGCCCCATAGAGTTTCCAAGACTGTAATCCTTACAGAAGCAAACTGCAACATTCGAAGCACCGACCTTTCAGTTAGCAGCCAAGCACTTAACCATTGAACTACCAGGGCTCCCTAGAATAGCCATTACTAGCATTAATTTTTACACTAAATTGTAATCCAGTCATTTGTCTTTTTCTCCCTCTTCTCTCTCTCTTAGCAATCCTTCCTGCAGTCAGTGCTCCTGCCTCTATCAGCCTTCTAATTTTCTATATCTGGTTCTGTGATTTCAAAAAATAATTTGATTTTCTTTACAAAGCTGTTAGAATTATGCATAAAATAAGTGAAAAGCCAGATTGAAGTGTATGGCATTTAAACCCTGAGTGGCCACTCCCTTGCAAGCAGAGGACTTTTGCCTCACCCACGCACCAGGGTGATGCACACAGTGGAAACTACTAGTAGATGTGTGTTATTACAGCATAATTCCTTAAAATGTTCACCAATGCCTAAGTTATCCAAATACATCTTACTCAAAATGAGGAATGAATGCTGAACCTTTATGAGATACTCCAGAAACAACAAAAATTATGCATCAATAATGCATTTGGCAGTATGTAGCAATCTTCCATTGAAGAACTACGCTTTAAAAAAATAAAAAATCTGCAAACTACTCATGGTTGTCTGCTTTTCCTGGTTGCTCTCAAATTCATTGTTCACTTAAAGATTGTTACTTTTTGAAATACTACG